GATAAAAAGGTTTCTTTTTTATCCTTTTTTTGGGGGGTCTATGATATTGCTATTTATTGTGGGGTTTTTGTTGTTATTGTTGTTGTTGGCCTGTTTGATGTGTGTGTGAAACAATGTTGTCCAAAAATAAATGGTATTTTTATTTTGCTGAGTTTTTCTAAAAAAAAAAAAAAGGGAGGAGGAGGAGGAGGAGAAGGAGAAGTGGGAAGGAGAAGGAGAGGACGAAGTCCAATGCTTTCTTTGACCTACCTTGGAAGCAGCATGTCATCACTCACTTTGATCATGTTCTGTTCATTAGAACTGAATCACTAAGTTGAGCCCACACTCAAGGAGAGGGGAATTAAGCTCACTTTTTAAAAAATTATTTTTATTGTTGAAAGTATTACAGATGTCTCCTTTTTATTCCCCATTGACCCCCTCCCCCCACATCTGCCCTTTCCCCCGAGACTTAAGCCTATCTTTTTTAAAAAATATATTTTATTGATTTTTTACAGAGAGGAAGGGTGAGGGATAGAGAGTTAGAAACATCGATGAGAGAGAAACATCGATCAGCTGCCTCCTCCACATATACATATACATGGAGCACCTAAAATGTACAAGACATTCTGTTAGTTCTGCTTCAGGATATTTCCCACTTACTCATGAACAAGAACCGAGAGTTTATTTACTCAAGATCAGCTAGTAGATGATAGAACTAGGATCTGAACATAGGCTGTGCAGTTCCAGATTCTGTGTGTTTAACCACTATGAGACACTGACATTCTAGAGCAGGGGTGGGCAAACTTTTTGACTCGAGGGCCACAATGGGTTCTTAAACTGGACTGGAGGGCCGGAACAAAAGCATGGATGGAGTGTTTGTGTGAACTAATATAAATTCAAAGTAAACATCATTACATAAAAGGGTACGGTCTTTTTTTTTTTTTAGTTTTATTCATTTCAAACGGGCCGGATCCGGCCCACGGGCCGTAGTTTGCCCACGGCTGTTCTAGAGTCTACCTTACCTGCCTACCTGAGGTGACCTTCAACCTGAACTCTTGCCCTTCAGCTCCTTGAAGACCTTCAAGTAAAATGAATTTTCCATCCCTTCCTTAGAATATGTACAACAAGCATGTCAAATTCCCAGCCCACGGGCCACATACCACCCACAATAAATATTTTTGTGGCCCAGACAATATAACGGTATATAAGAAATGTTTTAATAAAAATTTTATAACTTAATTTTTATAATATCCTGTTATACATAATTATTAATAACAAACTTACAATGTTCATTAATGACTGATTACTATAATCATGTTGCATTCATTTCCCTTACATGCCTTACATGCAGGCACACCATTCTCTCCACTAATACTAGCAGTGAATACTTTAGCAGCCAATTGCCACGTCATTAGTCAAGTCTTGGACTGACTTGTTTGGTGTACACAACAGGAAATATTTTGCTTTTGGAGAACAAGAAAAATAGGTTTATTTGCATTATGCTTATTAATTTGTGCAGTTATTCAGTGTCTGGTAAGTTAATGTTCAAGAAAAATATTAATTTTTATTAAAATGTTCTATTATTTTATGTTAATGACTAGGGGCTGGTGCATGAAATTCGTGCACTGGAGGGGGGGGGCGTCCCTCAGCCCGGCCTGCACCCTCTCGCAGTCTGGGACCCCTCGGGGGATATCTGACTGCCAGTGGGCCTAAGCCAGCAATCGGACATCCCTCTCGCAGTCTGGGACCCCTCGGAGGATGTAGCAGTGCGCCAAGTGGCAGGCAGCCAGGGAGGACCCCGAATCAGGGCTGGGCGCCATGCCACTTTTGCTCATCCTGGCCCACTGCGCCTGCTGCTGCACCTGCTGCTCAGCCAGAGCCATGAGCATGGCTTCTGGCTGAGGGGTGATCCCCCTGTGGGAGTGCACTGACCACCAGGGGGCAGCTTCTGCACTGAGTGTCTGGCCCCTGGTGGTCAGTGCACATCATAGTGACTGGTCATTCTGGTCGTTCCGCCATAGTGGTCACTTAGGCTTTTATTATATAGACTAGAGGCCTGGTGCACAAAATTCGTGCACGGGGATGGTGGGGGGGGGTCCCTCAGCCCAGCCTGCACCCTCTTCAATCCGGGACCCCTCAGGGGATGTCCAACTGCTGGTATAATGACTTATCAAATGAAGATTTAGAATTATGGGTAGAGAAAAGATGTATATTTGTTTATTGTCCAATCAGTACACAGGTAGATTCTTTGTCCTATGCAGGCACAATCTCTTCCTGTTAAATCTAGGAACCATTTCTTCATTCTTGGATAATTTTGTATCTTTCACAAGAAAAAGGCAGCACATTTAAAAAAAAAAAAAAGGTTACATTGTTGATAATGGCCACAAATGCAAGTCTTACCTAGCACCATAGTCCATTAGTTTGCTGGAACAAAATACCATAGACCAATCATCTTATAAACAACAGAAATTTATATATATCATAGTTTTGGAAGCTAGAAGTCCAAGACCAGGGTGTCAGCATGGTCATGTAGGGCCCTCTTCTGGGTTGAAGATCCTCATATAATTCTCAGATGGCAGAAGGGACTAGTGGGCTCTGGGGGATCTCTTTTATTAAAGCACTAATCCCTGCCCTAGCTGGTTTGGCTCAGCGGATAGAGCGTCGGCCTGCGGACTCAAGGGTCCCAGGTTCGATTCCGGTCAAGGGCATGTACCTGGGTTGCGGGCACATCCCCAGTAGGGGGCGTGCAAGAGGCAGCTGAATTGATGTTTCTCTCTCATGGATGTTTCTAACTCGCTATCCCTCTCCCTCTCCCTTCCTCTCTGTAAAAAAATCAATAAAATATATTAAAAAAAAAATAAAGCACTAATCCCGTTCATGAAGACTCCATGACCTAATCCCTTCCCAAAGGCCCCACTTTCTCACACTTTCACATTGGGCTTTAGGATTCCAACATGAATTGGGAGCGGGGGAACACAAATTCAGACCAAAGCACTTGGAGTATGCAGGAGAATGAGAAAAATAATTCGTTTTCTGGTCATGGGGAATTTGCCTTTTGGAATTATACAGTGTAAACACAAAATAACACATCTTCTAATTATATCTTCTCTTGAACTCTTTAGGCCAGTGGTCGGTAAACTGAGGCTCATGAGCCACATGCGGCTCTTTGGCCCCTTGAGTGTGGCTCTTCCACAAAATACCGACTTCTGTGCATGGGCCACGAAGTTTCAATCGCACTATATGTGTGCGCCCGCACGTGGTATTTTGTGGAAGAGCCACACTCAAGGGGCCAAAGAGCCGCATGTGGCTCGCGAGACACAGTTTGCCGACCACTGCTTTAGGCCATGATCACTGCATTCCTAGGATGTGACCTCTTTCATAACTGACCGGACCACATCCCTGCCTTCCACACTTGCCACCAGCCAGGACAGGCAAGGAGCCCCTGGGCAGAGTGAAAGAACAGTCCTGTTTATTCAAGTAATGACTATCCTTCATCTTGCACAGATTAGGACCAACTCGAGAAAGTATACCATCATCCATCAATCAGAGCCAAGAGAGGACATTGATTGGAAGTGCCCCATTGGCGCTGCAAAACAATGGTCTCACAAGTCCTTCAGGAGACAGGAGCAGCCCCCCATACTTCCATGTGTGTGGAGCCTGCAAATGGGTGTAGTAATCACTCTGGTGCCAGCAGTTGGGGGTTCAAAGGAAAAGAAACGTGTACTGCTACCCCTGCCACCGTCAAGTGCTATGGAACAGGAGTGGCACTTGGATGGCTGAAAGCCTCCAACACATGTGCTCAAGTCCAAAGATCAGTAGTGACCATTGGTAACCCAGGGTCCCAAATTATCCTATGTACAGGATGTGTTTGAGTCACCCAAAATCAATACGTCAGCACCATTCTGGTGACCTGCTATCATGTGATCCCACAAAAGAAATACTACACCAGCCAAAAGGAGCCATCCACTTACCAGGCCACCCTCCTGGAACCAGGGCCTGGCTTCAGGGGCCTACGATGACCCCCTGGGCACAAGTTTCAGAACTCTTTGGAGGCAACTGATTGAAAGAAATGAGACTCAGGACAACAGGTGTCAGTCCAAGCTCAGGGTACCTCACCTAGATGTCACTGCTTGTCCCAGTCAGTCCCAGACACCAGAGGGCGACTTTCTATGTGAGGTGGGAGGAGAGGAAAGAAGAGCGCATGTCAGAGAAAATTAGCCATGTTAGGAATTTGTCCAGTAGGTGAACCAAAAGCATTTAGGGTTGAGAATGAAATGTGAAAGGGTCCCAAGTTTGACTTCTTCTTAACCAAAAGCTACGCAATTCATTGTATGGTGAACTATTAAGACACTAGAATGAGTTCTGTCTTGGTCTGCAAGACCATAACACCTTACCAGCAGACCCCTAAATTCCTAAATCTAGGCCCTATTCAGACCCGTCCCCTTGACTTGGGGTGGTGAACACACAATGCAGTGTACAGATGATGTGTTGTGGAATTGTACACCTGAACCTGGATAATTTTGTTAACCAGTGTTACCCCAATAAAGCCAATAAAAAGGAAAAAAAGAAAGAAAAACACCCATTCCACATAGTTCTCCAGCTGCAGTCAGAGATACAATTACTTTAGTTTGCATCTGCAGTGGAGAAGTGCTGTGTGGAAAGTCCAGGTTTATCAACCTAGGCTTAGGGTGGGTAGCAGGGAAAGACATGGATAAGGGATGCATTAAACTCTTGTAGTCCACACCCAAAGGCAAACAGACCAGGAACAGGCTAATGACCAGGACCACAGGAATACATTTCTTCACCAATCTCTTTCCCGGGCAGGAGATAGGATGAGAGGAAGAACCTATCTAGATATCATTAACCTACTTTGCCACTGCTAATCCCAGGAACACAATACAAGCAGTGTGAACCCTGGGGCAAAGAAGAATTGTGCTTTCATGAGGGGCTAATAAAAAAAATAGGCCAGTCTTTCTTCCCAGAACCTTTATTGCAGAATACCTAAGAGGAGGAAATCAGCATGAGAAAGAGGAAGTGGAAAGAGGAAGAGGAGAGGTGAAGAAAAAGAAGAAAGTAAGTTGCTTCACTATCTATTAGGTATTACCTGGACCTTCATGTCACTACAGGATATAATAATGAACTTTTCAAAAATGAAAGTTAGGTAATTACAGTGAGGAGTGACTTGGCCTGGTTTGGATAACCTGCAAAATGTCAAATCAAAAGGACGGGAGCTTTTGTGACATTTGCGTCCCTGGAGCTCACAGGCAATGACAGGACCCTTACAGACAGCTTTGACTGTATCTAGCTCCTCGTGGATGAATGTGTACTGGGTGATGCATGTGTGGTTGTGCTCCTTCATCTTGTGTGCCATCATGGAATTGCATTCCCGGGCCATCAGGTCAAGCCTGGGATAGTCTTTGTTGCTCTGAGAGAGAGCCTCAGCTCTGAGCATCTTGTTTCCTCCAACTTCATCTTCATGGACGATGGTCTCTTCAGGCCAGCCAGGTTGTACCACTCCTTTGTTGCTAAGCAGCAGGGTTTCTGTTGTTCGGGTGCCCTCTCCCTCCTTAGTGACTCTGGCCTTGTCCTGTGAGTCACTGGACCAAAATAATTCATTCAGGGATTGATCACTATCCTCCAGGACCGCTGCAGCCATCCGAAGGCCCAAACCCAGGCCCATCCCAAGGCCCAGCAACAGCAGCAACATCATAAAAAAGATTTGCACCAGAGTCAGCTTCATTTTGCCTAGAGGGAAGGAGGGAAAAGGAAGGACTGACTTTGAGATGAAACTTGACTCTACTAGAGACCCTAGGCTCCTTAAACCCTGACCGCAAAGCCTTTGGGGTCTCCTCTCCCTTTCCCCACATTACCCCATGCCCCTCAAGTCACCTCCTGTCCCTCTCCTCCACCACCTTCCCTGTTGTTATGTAATGACCTGAAGATCCTACAGAACAGGAAGAACTAGGGGAAGTGGTTCTAAAATTGGTTCATCTGTGGGGCAACAGTAGAGGGAAGTTGACTCTCAAACAGAAATTAGTTCCAATAATCCAAGAGACTGGTTGAGAAGACAAACAACTACAGTGTCACACTTTCCTTGAGAGAAATTATTATAGACTAGAGACCTGGTGTATAAAAATTCGTATACTTGGGGGGGGCGGTCCCTGAGCCCAGCCTGCGCCCTCTAGCAGTCTGGGAGCCCTCAGGGGGTGTCCACCTGCCAGCCTAGGCCCACTCCCTGGAGGATCAATGATTCTCTCTCCCTCTTCCTTCCTCTCTGAAATCAATAAAAATATTTTTTTTTTTAAAAACCACAAATGTTTTTTTTTTTTTAAAAAAAGGCCTTCCCTAACAGAAAAAAAATGGCTATAACCTGTTGAGTAGGTAGGAATATTGTATCAATGCTTGATATACTGAATTTGTAAAATTGTACTATCATTATTTAAGAGAATTGTTGTTCTTAGGAAATGAACCCTAAAATATTAAGGAGCAAAGGGGCATGGTGTATGCAAACTATTCTCAAACCCCGTGTGGTTCAAAATATAGGTTATATGTATATGTGTACTATGTATGTGTTTAGAGAGAAAGAATTATTTTTAAAAAGTGGAAAAGGGTTTTTTTTTTAAATAATGTATCTGGATAAAGGATATTCAGGATTCCTTGTATCATTATTGTAATTTTTCTTTAAAATTGAAAATATTTCAATTATTTTTGAATTTTTAAAAGAGAAAGTCTAGTCCATGTTGTTCCCTGGGGCACCCAACACCACTGTGACTTACCTGCACACTTAAGTAGCTTCCAAAATTGTTTCCTCTTGTTTAACAAGTTCTTCTCTCCCAGGGTTGCCTTCCCTCTGAGAAGTGCATTGGATGTTGGTCTTCAGAAAAATGATTACCACCTTGTGGTCCACGTGCTCTTAAACCCAGACTTATTCCTAAGCCCACTCCCCTCCCACTTCCCCCACCCAGCACTGATTAAACATACTAAGCCAATTCTCCTTTCTGCTCCCACAAGCTCTTTGAAGTAAGGCTATTTTGGCATGGAGACAGACCCAGACATCCAAGACAGGAAATGTCTTGAGCCTGGGAAACTGCAGTTTGATTTTGTCAATAAATTGTTCCATTCCTGAGTTACACCCACTCTTTTGTGGTTCATAGCACCCTGATCTTGCCCATGGATTTTAAACCAAGTAATTTCCTTATATTCTCCATATGAACTTCCTTTAATCATTTCCTGTCACTTCTGGAATGTCAAGATCTTTGGCTTTTACTTGGGTCATTGCTGGAGTCCATTCATTGTCTTCACTAGCTGAGTTTAGACAGAGACCCCCAAAAGCTAGTAACCTTTGAAGTCCTAGCAAAGGTCAGAACTGCACCACCCAGTTAATCTAGGAACCACCCAGTTAACTTAGGTAATAATAGCTGAAGCATCCCCACCTTAGTTCCCTTAATTCCTTAGATACTTGTGTAGATCCTTGTTGATTATTGTTGATCAGATATTCTGCCTATTTCTGGAAATTGTCTACCAATGAGCTAATCCATGTGTCATTCAAACCTCCTTACCCTAAGGCTACCCCAGACAAACCTCCTTACCCTAGGGCTACCCAAGATCAAATAAAAGCTTGGAGCGACCTGAGCATCGGTGGAAGTCCTTCGGGACTTGCCCGCCTGGTCCCCCAATATTGCAAAATTATCTCGTGTCTTTTTCTCTCATTTGTTGTGCGGCTCCTCTTTCAGATACCGAACCCTACTCCACGCAGAACGTGGAGGGAGTGTTACTCGACAGGTCATCTCACCAAAATGGCTATTTTGCTTTTCACATTTTAGAACATTTGAACATTTTGAGTATATGAGTCAATCATGAGTTTTTACATACCTTCCCTACGAAGCCCATCTCAGCTTTCCACTCTCCACTCCTCTGCTAATTTCTGATAAGAATATCTAGATTTTTCAATTCTGATAATTTAGCCCTAGAAAAGAGAATATCCAAAGCTGCACCATCACTATCAGTCCCTATAACCTGGGTGAGTAAAACTAGAAAGTTTACAATGCTTATTCCAGTCACTTCTTTAACTAAAAGTGACATCATGAGTTAATATTTTTAAAAGCACTTTGGAAATTAATAAAGCTGTTATGCCCAGATTTCAGGATCCCCAAGAACCCACATCAGGGAGCCAGCCAGTCCGATGTAAAAGCATAAGAGTCTTTATTCGAGCTAGCTCGGCTCCCCCACCTTGTCGACGCAGCGACAGGAAGCAGAGAGAGAGAGAACTCTGTGTGGAGAGGGGTTTTATAGGGGGTTGGAGTAAGGGGAGGAGAAAGGGCTGTGGCCTTGCCGATTGGCCAGGTGCAAGTCGGTGTCTTGTTCCTGGGTGTGGCTAGCAGAGGCTTAGACTTCCGGGAAGAAGCTCCTTGCCAACCACATGGCCAAGGTAAGATGGAGCACTTACCCTGGGGCAAGATGGAGGGCGTAGCCCTTCCCCTGGGGCAAGATGGAGGGCGTAGCCCTCGCCCTTTCAAAAGCACCATCCAAACCCTCTCAAAGACATAAGCAAGCCCCTTGACGGAGAATGTTTTATTTTATCATTCAAGCTAGAGTTTTCAAATGGTGGTCTGGGAGCCTTTTCAGTGATCTGCAAAGTCTACCAAGTTGGTCTTTGTAGATATTGATAATTTACAGCAATAATTATTTACAGCAGTAATAATAAAAACAATAATGTCAATATTGAGCACTTACTTCATGCAAGGCATTTATTGCATTTTACCCTCACAATTTGTTTGTGGTATTCCTCTTTAGTGCCCAGTTTGCCCATTTATTTTGATGAGGTCTATTTGCAACATAGAGAGGGAATAAAGAATCCTCTGATGAATCTGGTTGCCTAGAGTCAGCAGGGGTAGCATATTCAACTACGTGCATCACCTGTCTCTTTATAACTCCAGTAGTTTTCTTCCTATTAGGGATTGTTTGAAAGTAACCCTTAATTAAATATGAAGAAATGACCTCTGTGTTCAGTCTAAGTATATAACCTTTAGACTGGACAGGTTTTTATTTTTGTTTTTTCCTCTTATGACTAGAGATTTCTCCTCTTCCAAATTTGAATAATACTTCATAGGGATGTTGTGAATGTTATATAAGATACTGCATATAAAAGGATAAATGTATTCTATTGCTGTTATTGCTATTACATATTACCAACACATGCTCATTATTCCATCAATGCCATTTTCCTATTTAGAAATAACACATACTAAGTACTACAGATACCAACATTGCTCACTGCTTCTAGAATAAGTCAAACAATATCCTAGAATCTCAAAGTAGGAATTAAGGCTTATATGGACTGACACTTCATTTCACAAATAAGGAAGTAACTCAAAGAAGTTAATGTCTCAGATTCTATAGATAAGTAATGGCAATTCTGATAGTAGAACTCCTGACTTTTAGTTAAGCAAAATTTATGATGATAGCTAGATAGATAAATGATAGATAGCTAATAGAGCTATATATAGAGAGATAGATACTCTGATTAGAAAATTGACAATGAAGCCTTTTAATACTTAGATTCTAAGCATAAGCACTACTTCTCATTTCAAATTAATCTAAAATATGGACTTTCACTTGCAGTCAAGATGAAATAACAGCAACTGGAATTTGCCTGAAACTCCTATAAAAATGAACAAGTTATATAAAAAAACAAATTTTCAAGACATTGGCAAACAGGCAATGCAGCATAGTGATCACTGAGAGATGGGAAACAAACAAAATGGGCTTACTCCCTGGAGCTTCTGGGCCATGTGGCAAAGAGAAAAGGAACCCAGGCAGAGTCTATCAATCATGCTAAGTTGGGAAGATAGATTGGGAGTCCAAAGAGGTCAATGCAATTAGAGTTCACAGGGCAGAGCATGAGAGGGGGTACAAGACTGCAGAGAAAGAACTCCAGAGATCTACAGTGGAAAGATATCACTACACGTTTATCAGAATGACTCACATAAAAAAATAGTGACAATATCAAACACTGGCAAAGATGCGGAGAAACTGGATCTCTCATACATTACTGTTGGGAATGTAAATTGATACAGTCATCCTAGAAAATAGTATGGCAGATTCTTAAAATAATAAATATACACTTACATATTTACAACCCAGCAATCACATTCCTAGGCATTTATCCCAGAGAAACGAAAACATGTCCACACAAAACTCTGTACACAAATGTTAATAGCAGTTTCATTTGTACTAGCCCAAAACTGGAAACATACCAAATATCCTTCAATAGGAGAAGGGCTAAACAAACACTGATACTTATATACCATGGAATACTACTCAGCAACAAAGAGGAATGAGGCAGCCACAGTGGCTCAGTGGTTGAGCATCGACCTATGAACCAGGAGGTCAGGGTTCCATTCCCAGTCAGGGCACATGCCTGGGTTGTGGGCTCGATACCCAGTGTGGGGTGTGCAAGAGGCAGCTGGTCGATGATTCTCTCTCATCATTGATGTTTCTATCTCTCTCTCCCTCTCCCTTCCTCTCTGAAATAAAATAATAAATAAATAAATAAATAAATAAATAAATAAATAATA